AGCTCGTTCTCGAAGTCGATGGACTTGCGGAGCACCCGCACCATGAGCTCCGGGTCCACCATGTGGGACGTCATGCTCAGCACCTCCACGAGGTGCTGCCGCGTGACGTGGCAGAAATGCATGCAGAGGCCGCACTGGACCCGCCACTCGGAGGGGAACGTGTGCGCGTGCCTCTCCTCGTAGTCCCGAACGGCCCGCTTGAGCCAGGCGTAGCGCCGCTCCGCGGTCTCCAGCTGGGACGCCTCCTTCGGAGGCTGGAAGATCTCCTTGTAGTCCTCCAGGATCCGCAGCTCCCTCCAAGCTTCTCTCGACTCCCTCCCCTCCCACCTCGTCCCTCCTCCCTCCTCCCTGACCCCCCCCCCCCCACGCCCTCTCCCCTCCTGCCCCGTCCCCGACGAGGACGAGAATGACGAGGAAGATGGAGAGAGAGAGAGAGAGAGAGAAGGAGAAGGGAGGCGGGAGAGAATGCCCACCTCCCCTACCCTCCACCTCCTCACCTTCCCTCACTCCTCCGCCACCCCCCCCCCCCACCCCCTCCAAGTCACTCCTCTACCCTTTCTCCGCTGCCCCCTCCGATTCACCACCACCCCATCTGAATGCTACTAGACTCCAAGAAATGCTGCGTCACATGTCTTTTGCAGCCGAGGCCTGTTTTCGGTGTTTGAGAAGGTTGCTCCCGCTGTAGCGCGGGCCTCATTGTAGGATGGGCGTCTCGCCCGCTGCTCTGCATCCCAGTCCTTCCTCATCGTTGTCTCCTCGCTCCTTTCCCCTCCCCTGCCGCCCCCTGGTTATCCTGCTCCCCCCACCCCTCCTACTCCTGCTCCTGCTGCTGCTGTTCCTCCTCGGCCACCTCCTTCATCCTCCTCTTTGTTCCTGCTCATCCGTCATCTCCTCCTCCTCCTCCTCCTCCTCCTCCTTCTGCTCCTTCTCCTCCAATATACGCAACTCCCCTTTCCTGATTGCGCAAATCACGACGGGGTCCTTCCGGGGTTCCAGGTCCGCGACTGCCCCCGTGAAGAATAAAAGGCGAATGAATGGATTGGAAGGACAAGATGTCAGATACGGCGCGAACGCACCTAGCCTGTCTCCCTCTCCCTCCCACTTCATCCCCTCCACTCCCTTTCCCCTCCTCCCCTTCCCCCACCTCTCATCTGCCCTGTGGCATGGGGGAAAACGTGGTCCTGGTAGAATCGGGTGCCGACACCATCGAGTTGCCCTGGGTACGACCTCACATCCCGAGCCGTTGTGACGGCTCTAGGGCCCAGAGAGGCCCCCCTGGGAGCCCCAAACCTGCGAAACATTTCCAACTCCCACATGCGCGCTTCCAATCCAAATTACAACTATCATCGAGGACCCGTTTCCCAGACTACTTCTTCGACGCGGAGATCCCCGCACGTCCATTTCACTTGCTGGCACTTCCATCGTTGAGCGTCCGAGTGCAAGACTGTTAGCATGGCGACTGAGAGCTCCCTGGCGGCTTCCGATCTGCCTGCTGCATCGTGGTGAGCATGGAACTCTGAGATGAGAGCGGTCTGGGGGCCCATCCTCCCCCCCCCCACCTGTGGCCGCTTGGGACGGCCCAGCACCCCTGGAAGGCCCTCGGCGAAGCACAGCTGCTGGCATGCCTCCCGAGGCTGGGGAACCGCCGAGAACCACGAAAACGGTCGAAAGCCTGAGAACTTCCCCTGGAGCCCATCCCCCCTACCGTCGGCCCGGACCCTCCCTGCTTAGAGGCTGGCGCTTCCCACGTCATTCAAGCTCAGCGAGAAGTGCATCAAGTCACTTAGCCTACTTAGCGTTGCTACTTAGCTGTACTTACTAAGTTATGTACTAAGTTACTCAGGGTGGCATGTGCAAGTTACTTAGGGGATACTTCTGACTATCACTCACCTTTTCAGAGGAGGAGGGCGAAGAGGAGGAGAAGGAGGGGGAGGAGGAGGAGCATGCGCGCCGCGGCCGCGCGTCTGCGTCGGGTTGCGCGGCCCCGGAAGCTTCAGCCTCTAAGTGCCCTCCTCCCTTCCTGGAGGCCTCCCAGATGGGGTCGAGGTGCTTGGCGTCGGAGGATCGCGCCGCATCGTCGACGCTTGGGCATTGCACTGGCGACGTCGGCAGGGGGAAAATCGGGCTCCTTGGGTGTCGCTTGGGCGACTAGTGCGGGGGGGGGGGGGGGAAAGGTGCACTTCTCAGGCCCTGAAGGCCCCCTTGAGGGGCCCTGAAGGCATCCTTTTCTGCAGCCCTCGCTGCCCCCCTCCCTTTTTATCGCCCCCTCATTACGGGACGCCCAAGCTCCACATCGAGCCACCAACAGTGGGCAAACTATATTTCTCCGCGGCACTCACCGCGCAACAACGACAGAGGAGGAGGGGGTGAGGAGGAGGGAGAGGAGGAGCAGGAGGGGGAGGAAGAGTGGCGGAGTCTTTTCCCCGCCGAGAGAAACACAAGGGGGTCCCTGAAACCAAAGACCTACCGCGGTTACATCGGCGACGCGGCGCGACCCTCCGACCGCATCTCTCGGACCCCTTACGTAACGGAGGCCTGGACTTTCTCCCCCCGCCCGGTCCTCCAGGATCCGCAGGCAGAACTGCGTCACCACCTCCCGGCGCATGGACGGCCCCAAGGCGTCCACGCAGCTGGCCGCCGCGGCGCCCCAACCCTGAGGGCTGGGGAGTGAGAGAAGGGCGCAGATGAGGAGAAGGACGAGGCGAGGAAACTTCCATGATCCGGGCGTCGCCCGCTTGGCGTGTTCGCCCGGCTTGGGGCACCCGGGCACACCCAGGGAGATCTGGCTCGAACACTGCAGTACCTTCGGTTGCGATTGTCCGCGGAGTTGAGTCTTTGTTAGATACGTCGGATATCACGGAAGGGCGGAGGGAGAGGAGCACGCGGAGGAGGGGAGGGACAGGAGTATTCAGATCTCCGACGATAAGACATGTTTTAGTCCCGACGCTTCTCCTCGATTCCGGCACACGCGGGTGCCCTCAGGGCATCAGAAGTGGATCCAGAGCAAAAAACTACCCCACGGTCGGGAGCTCTGGTGCCGCGCATTGACAAAATGAAATCGGCGGCAGGAGAAAAAACAAAGGAGAAAGAAGCGGAGCGACTCAAAGTGACCACCTCCTCCTCCTCCTCCTCCTCCTCCTCCTCCTCCTCCTCCTCTCCCAGTCCATCTGGGGGACCGTGCTCCTAGACTGGAGGCTGGCTGGGAGCCTCAGCAAGGCATGCTGAGGCAAGTCCTCGAGCGGAGTACGAGGCGTTGGGCGCCTTACAACAGGTGTGCCTTCCCGTGGCTATCCGAGCGAGGTTCTCTTGACCCCTGCGGCTGCGCGCAGGAGGGCATTCGGGAAGAATAATAATAATCTAACATAAGAAGACGAATAAGAACAATAATAATACGAATGATACTAATTAAAATAAAAATAAGAAGAAGCAGAAGAAGAAGAAGAAAAAGAACCGGAGCAGAGGGAGGAAGTGGGAGAGGGGCAAGGGAGGAAGCCGACGACGCACGAAAACCACCACCACCACGGCGACGGTGGCGACGAGGACGGACGCAGGATAACCAAGAATCGAATCGATACGTCGGATCGGCGATCGGAATGAATCGGATCAGCGGAAATCGGCAGCCGAGTCGGGAAAAGTCGAATCGGAGGAAATCGGGATGCTGGTGTGCCTCTGTCGAGAAATCGGAGCCCATATCGAAATCCGAAGCCGAATCGAATCGGAATCGGCAGTCATCGAGATCGGATCGGACCGAATCGGTGGAGTCGAAACGAGCCCTGCGAACGACGACAAAAGACGGACGGCGACGACTAGGGCTCCCAACGTCTCGCTTCGCGCTCCGCGAAGCGCGAATAACTTCGCGCTCTTGCGCCGCCCCCCCAAAGGGAGAAAAGGAAGACGAGGAGGAGAGGGAAAAGGAACGAGGACCGCGAAGCGCGAATAAATTCGCGCCCTCGTGGGAGCCCTTGCGACGACGGCGACAACGACCACAGCAGCAACGACGGCGACAACGACGACGACCACTATGGCGACGGCGACGCGCGCACCGCGACGCGCCACGGCGGCGGCGGACGACGACGGCGACAACGACCACAGCGACAGCGACAACGACGACGACCACCACAGCGACGGCGACCCGCGAACGGCGACGGGCGCCACGGCGGCCTCGGGGAGGTCCTGCCGCGCCGCGCCGCCGAGCAGCGAGGCGTAGTCGTCCAGGAGCTGCTGGCGGAGGTCGCCCAGGACGCCCGCCTGGCGCCCTCCGCCGTCGCCGAGGTCGGCGTGCGTCGTCGTCGTCGTCGTCGTCGTCGTCGTCGTCGTCGACATCGTCGTTGTCGACGTCCGTCATCGACGTCCGTCGTCGACGTCCGGCGTCCGTCGTCGTCGTCGCTGTCGCTGTTGTCGCTGCCGCCGTCGTCATCGCTGCGGTTGTCATCGCCGTCGTCCGCCTTCGTCGCCGCCGCCGCCGCCGTCCATCGACCTCGCTATTGTGGCCGTCGTCACTGTCCGCTGCCGCGGCCGCCATCGCTGCCGCCGTCGTCGCCCGCGAAAAAAACAAAAAGGTACCAATACCGCTACAACCCTGGACCTCGTCCGAGGCGCGTCCTGACCAGCATCTCGAGGCGAAAATTCAGCGGTGGAGATCAGGACCTCCCAGGAGGCCCACAAAGGCGAAGACGAGGGAAAGGTCGCGATATGGATACCTTCTCCTCCTCTGAGTCCGCATCGGGGGCGCGGCGAAAACATGGATCAAAGATCCATGGACTTGGCGCGCGGTCGCCAAATCCATGGATCGGGGGAGGCGCCCTCCCAAAAAATGCCGCTGGTGCCGCCTCGCTGTGCGGCGGAAATCCGCGATTCCCCATGGAAACGGGACCCGTCGCTGATCCACGCCCCCTTGATCCATGTCTGCGATCGCCTGACCGCGGTCCGTCGTCGTCTCGGGTCGGGCGAAAGGGGGGGATAGCAAAGGGGGGGTTTGAGAATCAGCTCACGTAGCTGATTTTCCCGGCGCCTCCCGGCGCCGGAGGCGGCTATGTATCGAGGAATTGGGCCCCTCGGTGAGGCCGAAACCAGCTGCATGCAGCAAATTTCGTAACCCCCCCTTTCCCAATCCCCCCCTTTCGCCCGACCCGATCGTCGCAATCGTCGCATCGTCGTTGTCGTGGCCATGGTCGGCGTCGGGTCCGCCGCCGCCGGCGTGGACGCCCCCCCCCCCCGTGCGCCTTGCGCTCCAGCAGGTCCGCCACCCGCGCCACGTGCCTCTCGGCCGGTCGAGCCGAGGCGCCCGACCCCCCCGCCTCCTCCTCCTCCTCCTCCTCCTCCTCCTCCTCCTCTCCTCCCTCCTCCTCTCCGTCCTCCCCTCCCCCTCCTCCTCCCCCTCCTTACTCTTCCCCTCCTCCTCCTCCTCCTCCTCCTCTCGCCTCCTTCGGGGAGGAGGCCTCCTGGACCCTCTTTGTATATATCCCTTTTCTGGGACCCCCCACCCTACAAAAACAGGCGCCGGCGCCCTCACCGCCCCCCCCCACCACGTCTGACACCCCCAGCCTCCTGAACTCTCGTTGTGCTTTCTTTCAGCGCCCCCTCACGCTACAAAAACAGGCGCAGGCACCCCCCACCACGCCCCCCCACGACGTCTGACACCCCCACCCTCCTGGACCCTCTTGTGTGCCTTTTCAAAAACCCCCAACCTACAAAAACAGTCGCCGGCACTCCCACCGCGCCCCCCCACCACGTCTGACACCCCCGCTCCTGACAAAATAATGATGACGGCTCTGACGCCAATGGTCCATCGCGATTCCTTGTCCGATCCATTCTTCCCCTTCGGGGATGGGGTCATCGCTGCTCCTAGATAACAGTTACCACCTCGCCCAATCTACCGACCGCTAACCCGAGTCACTGCCACCCCCCACGACTTCAATCAGTCGCTCGATAGGGGTCGGCGGCAGAGGCGGCAGCCTTTAGATCCGGCCGCTCCCGCCCTGCGGTGTGGGCCGTGCGCGACTTCTCTGACAGAGTGTTTGGTCCCCTTCGCCAATGCCTTCGCCAATACCTGGTCAAAAACCTCCCTGAAGTCCCTCCGAGGGGGCCCCACCCTGCCGCCGCCCCCCCCCTCCCCCTGGGGCCCTTGAAGGTCCGAACCAGCCCAGGGACGACCGGTCCAAGAGTCCCAAGACGGTCCACGCCCAAGCTTGCCTCCAAACGGTCCAAAACGCCTCCAAGACGGCCCAAGAGGCCTCCAAGAGCACCCCAAGAGAGCCCCAAGAGACAAAAATCATTTATGTTTCGATGGTTTTTGACAGATTTTCGAGTTCTCGCCATTTCGGCTCACCGACGCTCCAAGACGGCCCACGAGGCCCCCAAGATCGCCCCAGGACAGCCCAACAAGCGCCCAAGAGGGCTCCAAGACAGTGCAAGAGGGCCCCAAGACGGCCCAAGAGGCCCCACGAGGCCCCCGGGACGGCTCAAGATGGGGCCCCAGGACGGCCCCAAGAGGGGGCCCCGAAGGGGAACCTGAATTAACATTTCGAGCTTTCGGTCCCAGGAGACCCCCAGGAGGCCTTCCGAGGCCCCCGGGAGGCCCCCAAGACGCCCCAAGAGCCCCAAGAGGCCCCAAGAGGGCCCGAAGAGGTTCCCAAGAAGCTCCCGGGAGGCTCCCCAGAGCCTCCTAAACTGCCCCGCAGAAGCCCTCGAGATCTGTCCGAAGAGACTCCTACAAGCGTCCGCGAGGACTCTGACACACAACCCTGGCAAGATGGCGGGATCACTCCAAGACGCCGAAGATGGCCTCTAGAGGCCCTTACGCGCCTTCAGGACGTTCCAAAAAGCGTCCAAGAGCATCTCCCAGGAGGGCCGAATAGGCGCCCAGGAAGCTCCCCAGAGGGCCGAAGAGGCCCCCAAGAGGTTCTTAAAGGGCACCAGGAGGACGCCAAAGATGGCTCTACCTCAGACGCCTTCAAGACGTCCCAAAATGCCTCCAAGAGCATCTCCCAGGAGGCCCTGAAAAGCCCCCAGGAGGCTCCAAAGAGGCCCCAAGAGGCCCCCAAGAGCTCCTCACAGGAGGCTTGCAACACGCCCCCAAACTGCCCCGCAGAGGCCCCCGAGAGGCGTCCGAAGAGACCCCAAGAAGCGCCCACGAGGACTGTGACCCACAACCCAGGCACGGTGACGGCATCACTCCAAGACGCCCAAGATGGCCTCTAACGCCGAAGATGGCCTCTAGGGGTCCTCACACGCCTTCAAGACGTCCCAAAAAGCCTCCGGGAGCATCTCCCAGGAGGCCCTAATTAAGGGGCCCCAGGAGGTTCCCAAGAGGCCCCCAAGAGCTCCTAAAAGGGCCCCAGGAAGTCCCCAAGAAGCCCCTAGGAGGCTTCCAAGAGGCCCCCCAAATGGCCCTTAAGATCTGGCCGCTCCCGCCCTGCGGGTTGGGCCGTGCGAGACCACTCTGACAATGTGCCTGGTAGGATTCGCCTGGGCCTGGTAAACATCTCCCTGACGTCCCTCCTTTGGGCCTCCACTCTGTCGGCGGTCCCTTGCAGACCCCCCCCCGACGCGAAGGTTTCAAGAAAACCCAAGGGCCCCAAGACGACCCTAAAGAGCCCCAAGACGGCCCCCAAAAGGGTCCAATAAGGCTCCACGTGGCCAGCAAGACGCCCCAAGAGGGATTCAAGAGGCCTTCCAAGAAGGCTCCGAAAAGTAAAAATCTTCTCATTCCTTTCGGACAACGTATACCTCTAGCATGTGCGACTTTGGGGATTCCTTAGCGGCGCCCAAGGTCGCCCGAGTATGGGCCCAGAGGCCCCGAAGAGGACCCCAATACGGCCCAAAAGCACCCAAAGCCGGCCCAAGAGGCGCCTAAGACGGCCCCGAGAGAGCCCTACAGGGACCCAAAAGCCAGACCGCCAACATATATTTCAAGCTTCTGGCCCAAAGGCACCTCCGAAACCAGCACGCCCTACAGAAGCCCCCAACAGGCCCCAGGAGGCTCCCAAGAGATCCGATGGGGGCCCCCAAGATCGCCCGAAGATCGCCCCAAAGACCCCGAAGATGGCCTCATGACGTGCCAAGACGGCCCCAAGACGCGCCGGAGACGGCTCATGACGGCCTCAAGAGGGCCCTAGAGCCAGAACTCGAAATCATATTTCCAGGCTTCTGCCCAAACGGGACCTCCCAGACTCAAGGGGCCGAAGGACACACAAAAAAATACACACACATAAAATGATTCCCCATATTTTCCTATATTTTCTGGGTTTTTATCTTCCCGCCCAATTCCCATGTTTTCCAATATTTTCTGGGAGTCGCCAATTAATTGTGTCTGTGTGTGTTTTCCCCTCCTGACAGACCGCCAGCAGGTTTCCAAAAAGCCTCAAAGAGGCCCCAAAAGGCCCCCAGAAGGCTCCCGAACGGTGCCCAAGAGCCCCCAAAGAGGCTTCAAAACTGCTTCCACGAGAGTGCGGACCAAATGCGTCAAACTCCCCAGGAGCGGCCGGTGATGCGCCGCCAGCGTTCTCGATCCCGCGAATTCGCCAGTGCCTGGTCAAAAACCTCCCTGAAGTCCCTCCGAAGGGGCCCCACATTACCGCCGGCCCTCCCCTCCCCCTGGGGCCTTTGAAGGTCCGGAACAGCCCGGGGACGACCCAAGAGCGCACCAAGCCGGTCCAAGAGAGCCCCAAGACGGTCCAAGAGAGCCTCCAGACGGCTCCAGATCGCTGCCTCCAAACGGCCCAAAACGCCTCCAAGACGGCCCAAGCGGCCTCCGAGAGCACCCCCACGAGAGCCCCGAGAGACAAAAATCATTTATTGTTCAAAGGTTTTTGAAGGATTTTCGCGTCCTCGCCATTTCGGTTTGCCGACGCTCCAAGACGGCCCAAGAGGCCCCCGAGATCTCCCCCAAACAGCCCAACAAGCCCCCAAGAGGGCTCCAAAACAGCCCAAGAGGACCCCAAGACGCCCCAAGAGGCCCCCAGGACGGCCCAAGAGGGGCCCCAGGACGGCCCCAAGAGGGGGCCCCGAAGACGAACCCAAATGAATATTTCGAGCTGTCGGTCCCAAGAGGCCACCAGGAGGCTCTAAGAGGCCCCCAGGAGGCCCCCAAGACGCCCCAAGAAAGCCCCAAGAGGCCCCAAGAGAGCCCCGAGAGGCTCCCAAAAAGCCCCCAAGAGGCCCGTAAACTCACCCGCAGAGGCCCCCGAGAGCCCTCTCGAGAGACCCCAGGAAGCGTCCATGAGGACTCCGACCCAAAACCCAAGCACGGTGCCGGGATGGGCCGACGGCTATTTGATAGCTGGCAAACTTTTTTCGGTCGCGGCCGCGAGACAAGGGTCAGGCGGCGAAAGCAAAGTCCGGGGCACGAACGAGGCTAATTAGCTACAACAGGCACAGGCCGGCCGGCCCGCTCACAAAGCAGCCACGAATCTGAATGGGAGCTGACGCCGCAGGTGTCCTGATCCTGAGAGCTCGTGCACGTGCACAGACAAAATGTCATGGAATTCGGTGCCTGTCACAGTCTGAGACGTGAAGCGGGATAACCAAGCCCGTCAATCTAAGTGGGGGCACGACCCACACAGTATAAGACGAAAACCAGGATGGTCAAATCCGTCGTGCTGAGTGGGGGCAAGTGGGAGGCCATTGGAGTGAGTCGCCAGTGGGGCGCCAGGCTCCAAATGCCCGGACGACTGGAGCTAGCCAGAAAGGCAATAGCTGGCATACGCGCGCGTCACGACTTTCGATGCTGCGCACCACTTCGACAAACTCCCAAGGAGCGGCTGGTGATGCGCCGCCGGCGTCCTCGATTGCATCGCAGCAGACATTTGTTGTCTGGACGTTTGCAAGTAGGCAATTTGCAGGTAGTGGAGCGCGCTCGGTGATTAACTAACTGGCGGTGGAAAGGCTTATTCGTTTTCAGTTTCGTTTTCGCGCGCCGCCGTCGGAGGAGTATGAAACATCGTGGCGTCCGGGGGTCTGGGGAAGTCGCCCTTCTGCATGTCCTGGCCTCGGGGGCCCCCACCGTCCGCGGGGTCTCCAAAAAGGGGGGGCGGGGGGGGGGGTCCGTAGATCCTGGCACGAGGCATGTGCGCGGGCGAGGAGGAGCCGGAGGAAGCATGGAAGCAAGAAGAATACACAAGCGAAGGCCATGGAGAGGGATCGAACGGCAAACACGGAAGAAGAAAGAACGGCATAAACATAAACTGTTGGTGCTCCGCGCGGACTTCCTGGATCTGCGCCGGCCCCCCTCCCTGACGCGCGGAGCGCGCCAGGGGCGGCGCCGGAGGCGCCACCAGGGGGGCTCCAGCGCGAAGCCAAGGAATCCGCGCGGAGCGCCAACAGTTTATGTCGATGCAGTTTTTACGCCTTCGAGGGAAGCAACAACAAAAAAATGGGGAAAGGGGGGAACATGGATGAGGGGGCCCTGGGACACACAAATAAATACACAAATAAAAGGATTCCCCATATTTTCCTATATTTTCTGGGTTTTTGTCTTCCCCCCCACTTCCCATATTTCCCATATTCTCCTGGGAGTGCACAATTAATTGTGTCTGTGTGTTTTTTCCCCTCCTGAATGGAAAGGGATCGAGCGGCAGAAAGGCGATGTCCACCGCGGTCTGCGCGGAACTTCTTGGGATCGGCGCTGGGCCCCCCGCCCCTGGCCCGCGGAGCGCGCTCCGGCAGGGGCGGGGCCAGGGGCGCAGCTGGGGGGGGGGGCCCAACGATCCAAGAAGCCCCTCCTCCTCCTCCTCCTCCTCGTTCTCCTCCTCCTCCTCCTCCTCCTCCTCGTTTTCCTCCTCCTCCTCCTCCTCCTCCTCCGCCTCCTCCTCCTCCGCCTCCTCCTCCTCCTCCTCCTCCTCCTCCTCCTCCTCCGCGCGGAACTCAGAGCATTTATGGTCAGGCCGTTGCCTGTGGGCACTGGGCCCTGTCATCGCCTGTGGGCAGGAGACCCCAGAGTCGAATCGATGAGTCGGATCGGCGACCAGAATTGATCGGATCAGCGGACTCGGGGAGCCGAGTCGGGAGGCGTCGAATCGGCGGACACTGGGAGGCCAGTGTGCCTCCCATGAGAAATCGGAACCCAGAGCGGAATCCGAAGTCGAGTCGAATCGGAATCGGAAAACATCACAATCGTTTTTTTTGTGTTGGAAAACATAGAGATCTGATCGGATCGAATCGGCAGAATCGAAGCGAGCCCCGCGCGGGTGCCCCGGTGCGGTGGCCCGGCGGCTGCCGTGGCTCCCGCTGGCGGGGCTGGCCACGCCGCGCACGCAGGTGAGAACTCCTCCGCCTCTCGTGATGGGCCTGTTTTCCACCAGCACCACCATAGGTAGGAGGGGGAGGGGGTCCTCCTCGTCCTCCACCTCCTCCTCCTCCTCCTCCTCCTCGTCTTCGCTCTCTTCCTCCTCATCCTCCTCCTCCTTCCCCCCTCCAATTTATGGTGGTGGTGGTGGTGGTGGTGGTGGTGGTGGTGGTGGTGGTGGTGGTGGAGAACAGGCCCATCATCTCGGGGTCTTCTCCTGGCCATCGCTCGGACGTCCATTCCCTGTGTTTTTTGGGGGTTTCGTGCGTGTTTTTGTTCTTCGCCAAATGATCAAGGATGCTCCTCGATGGCCCCCGCCGGAGGAAAAATGCACACGTCCGAACGATGCCAAGTCTCTTCCCCCTCCCCTGCGCGGCCGCCCTCCTCCCGCTCTCGCGCGCTGGCCAAGCTTTGTCGCTGGTGCAGCCACCTCGGCCTCGCCGCCGACGACAACATGTGGCTCGAAAGGCCTCGACATGCTAGGAGACGTCACTGCGCGGTCCGACACCGCCCGGCCTTAGGGTTTCGGAGGCCCTGGTCGCCCGAGTCGTCCCCAGAGAACGACCCGAGTGCCCAAACCGAGCGGCCATTCTGAGTCCCTACTGACTCACCACGCGGTGTGGTCAACACAGAGTTTGGCTTCGAGTACCAGGTGGAAACTGCAATGAGAACAGAAATATCACGTAGACGGGTCTGCCTGTCTCCGACTTTGTACTATGCCGAACGCAGCGGCCGCATTGTGTATAGATGCATAGATCCCGCATGTTTTTGTTAGTTCCTTTCTCTCTCTCTATATATATACACACATATCGATCAACCAATCAATCAATCAATCATACAATCAATCAATCAATCAATGCTCTGAAGGGCAGTGTTCCACATGTCAGCTCAGGGGCTCTCTGAAGCAATGAAAGAAACTCGGGGGGCGGCGATTTCGGCAGGCAGGTCTTTTCCAAGGAGGAGGGGAGGAGGGAAGAGGTACACAGCGTGCACCTGTGTCTGCGGGGTCGCTCGGCGTACTCAGTATAGCTCGTACACGACGGCCGGGTAGCTGAGGGAGTCGCCGCAACCCTCGGTCACTGCCAAATCGAAGTACTCAGCGCAATCCTCGTGCGTGGCACTCCACCGAGGGCGCATGGCAACCAAGGCCAAGACTGTAACCGCAGTGCGGGCCGATGGGGGAGGGCAGCATCATGCTCAGCATCGACGTGCGTGGACCCCCCAAAAAAGCGCATGGTAACCAAGGCCAAGACTTTGACCGCGTTGCGGGCCGATGGGGGGGGGGGGAGGGGCTGGTGCCTCGAGTAACTTCCAAGACAAAAAGCAATCGTCGTGCTTGGACCTCCCCCCAAAGGTGCATGGAAACCATGTCCAAGACTTTAACCGCATGGCGGGCCGATGGGGGAGGTCTGATAACTCGGATAGCTCCAAGCCGCTCAGAATTGAGTTCGGCACTCACGCACTCTCTCCGCAGCCAGTAGCACTTGAGGTCACATTGAAAGTATAATTCGTCGTTCGGCGCCTGACCGGGTCGACCGTCTTCGATGCCGTCGCCTGTCGAAGAGCTGTCTCTAGAGGTCCCAGTCGTCTGCGTACGAGGTCTAGCAATCTCTCCGAATGGCGGCCTATGGTGTTCTCCTGGCTCGGCGTCATCTTCACTTCTTATTGCCGCCCTTCCTGCCTTCGAACTCTTCCAGCAGCTGCTGCGCCGCCCGCTCGAGAGGGCCGCGGGGTGCTGGCCCCCTCTTGATGGCTCCGTTCCTGCGGCGAAGCCCCGCCACCGGCGCGCCCTGCACCTCCGCGCGCTTGCTGTTGAGGGTGAGGGGCAGCTTCGTCCTGCCAGGCTTGTTCTCCTTGGGCGTCGTAGGTCTGCCTGTGCAGCGCATGGCTACTTCCTGCACCTCCGCCGCGCCCTTGTCCTTGATGTGCACCATCCAGAACGGCAATCTCACTTCTTTCGACTTCTTCTCGCATGCCTCCTGGTTGATGCCCAGCACCATCGCCATGAATATGCGTGCGCACGCGCTCAGCCCCATCCAGGCCCTTCTCGTCGTTCTTGGCCTTGAGTGCCTGGACCGTCTCGTTGTACGTGTGCCCCGGGGCCTTCATGGCCAGCGCCGCCTGGCCTTCCATGGGCAAGAGCAGGCATGCGAACGCAATGCCTGCGATGTCTCTTAGTTCCGCTGCGCTTGTCCGCGCTAGCCTGGAGAGGGCGGCAACGAAGCAACCGAGAACGTCGTCGTCCTTGTCTTCCCCCTGGGGCAGGGCCTCGACGGTGCGCCGCTGCTTCTTGCGCCTGTTGCCCCCCGCGTCTGGCGTGGCCTGCTTGCTCTTTTGCGCGAACCTGGCGGGCCCCAGCCCAATGCTGCTCGTCGCGTCGGAATGGGTCTAGTGGGGGCGCGCGCCCCTGCAAGTGCTGCTGGACCTCCTCAAGGCTCGAACATTCGCGGCTCCAGATGCGGCAAGTTCGAAGGTCGGGATGAGACCCCCGCCCCAGGCGTGGAGATCTGCATTTGCACTCCCCCCCCCCCCCCCCTCGTCGCACTCGAGGCCGCGCGCTTCTGCGCCGCCGCCGCCGAGCCGTCCGCCGCCTGGCGCCAGGGGCGCATATATGTGATGATCGTGCATGTCCAGGGATCCCGAAGCACGTGTTTTTGCATTCAGCGCTGGTTGACCGACTTGAATGAAGCGAAGGTCTCTCGGCAAATACTTGCGCCTTCATTATTGCAGCCGCGCGCCCGCGTCGGTTCAGCGTTCTGTTCGGGCACAGTTATTGTTTCGGCGGCGGGAGCCTCGGACGAAGGCCAGCCAGGAGGAGAAATCGCACGCGCGGGCGCTCCTTCACGAAGTCTGGAACATCGAACACCCCGGAAGCCTCCGCCGGCGTCTCATCTCGGAAGAGCCTCCTGAAACCCTCCTCCATGCCCTCCTTTAACCACATCGCGTCGTCCCCCATGGCCTCCGGTCCCTCCAGGATGTCCTCCTTTACCCTCCGAGCCCATGGATCAACCTGCCCCCCCAGCTTCAAGCCGCCCCCGTCGATCGTCGAGTATTTTTTCGATCGGATACCTCCCGAACATTGCCGTGAGTCTTTGCAGCCGCTTAAGTCGCCAAGCCCGCGCCTCGAGCTTTGCAGGAGCCATTCTCAAGTATCTTAGTACGTCTGCCGTCGACATGCGTTTGCGCGTTTGCTCGCCCTCCGCCGCTGTCGCGGCTGAGTGGGCAGCTCCTCGCGTCGCTCAGCGCGCGAATCTGGCCGCGAGCGCGTTTTGCTCCTGCCAGTTGGCCTCCGCGTGGCAGAAGGCTTATTGCCCGAAAGAGCTGCGTTTTCCACGCAGCATATGGGCAGGCCTCGACGGACCTTCCAGGGCGTGCGCTTTAGACTCCAAAACCTACCGAGAGCGATGAATGCCTGTTCCACTGCCTGGCGCAGCTCTTTAAGTCTTCCCCGAGCATACAACTCACGCGCAACTGGGCTCCGAGTTATCTGGCGAGAGGTCTAGATTTAACAGGCAGACGAGCCCCCCCCCCCCCCCCGACATGAGACCCCGAGCGTCGCTATTCGAGCGGCGCCCAGCGGAGGCAGGGACCACGTGTCCGGTTTGGCCCCATCCTGCCTGCAACGTGCGGTGGTCAGCGCGCTGTCCAGAGCGCCGTTCTTTAGAAAGCTTAGCTGTGCCAGAGAAGCAAGAGATTATGTTTCTTCGGCCACTAAAGTTTCTAACGCATCATCTGCATATTGGCGCGGCGAGAGATCCACGCTCCCGTTGGTGAGAGGGCTCTCTGTTATGCAGTTGCCCACATCGCTGCCGGACTGTTTCATTCGGCGCTGCCAATCATCGATACCTCTGGGGCGCTAGGAGAAAGAGACGCACGGCGCACAGGCCCCGCACAAAGGCACCACAACCGATCCGAAGCATCACCTTGCCTTCCTCGCCTGGCAGCTGAACTGCAGCCTCGCGATATCCTTGGCGCCCGAATTGCTCGAGCTCTTCCATCGCCAGATCATTATGAGTGGAGTCGAACTCTTCTCAGGAGACGCCACCGAATGCGTTGCTTAAAGAAGGGGGATGTGTGATGCCCGTGCGCCCCTGTCTCCGCGCGCGCCACATCGTGCACTGAGCGACCGTGATTGCCACCCCCAGAAAACCGTGCACCTGCGCTGGCATTCTAGGCGCTACGCCCTGCGCGGCACGCCGTCCTTTACCTATTGGGGCCAAAATGTGGACCGTCCTGGTCCCAGCAGCCCCCCCCCCCTGCCGTTCGAGCCCCTTTGGATTTTTTTCATGGGGGGATCCCCTGACCCAGGTGACAGTAGCTGGGGGGCCCTACCTGATCGTGCAATTCTGAGCAGATCGCCCTCCAGAACAGCTCTGAAAAGAGGGGCGCCAGTGGGGTCCTCAGGGCCGCCGACGCCTCCATGTCCCCTCCTCGGGCGGGGCCCGGGGCTCGGATTCAAGAGGAGGGCCAGGAGCTCCGAAAGGGGTCGCCCATGGTGGTTGCGCCACCCTTTTTGGTCACCCTTTTTGCCCCTCGCTCCAGCCGCCGCAGGTCTCGGATCGCAGCCCGTCGAAGGTGTTCGCCCAGTGCTGGTGGTAAGTCTCCCTGCGGTTTCCTGCCGCGTCTCCACTGATCCCAATCATGCATCTGCGTGGCCTGCATTCCACCATCTGGTCCTGCGCGTGTCCAGTGTTCTGCCCAGTGTTATGTGGTGGGACCCGTCGCCTCCACTGGCAAACAATGTTTCGGTCTTAAATTCATACGCGCTGGTAGATGATATCGTCTTTGTTTTGACGGTAGATTCTGCATCGCTCTCACGAGTCTCGCCAGCGGCCCGCAACTTGTCCCCCATTTCCCCATTGCCGCTGGGATGCAGATGTAGTCCGCCAGCGATGAGTTATCACAATTGCAGTACCAGGTGTCACCAGCCTTCTGCATTGTACTTGCCACCAAATGGTGTCCCTCCAGAATCTCGCGAACGGCTCTCCCCGCGTAGTGTTCCCTTCGCGCTCCTAGTCGATGGATGGCCGTACTGTCCCTGCACCCCGTACCCTTGCCGTGATCCGTGACTGTCTGTACCACGCCGCCGTTAAAGTCCAGACATATGATGGGTGAGCTTCGGCTGGGGGTCTGTTGCAGCACCTCCTGTAGCCGATCCATCAAATTGTCCACGCACTCTTCGTGGGTCGATCTCGTCTCCACGTTCGTCCGACGTGGCGGCATGTAGAGGCCTATCATCGTGAAGCCGAACTGCCTAGAGGCCAGTCGCACCCCTTCCTGCGCATTGTTCGGGTGATGCCACCACCCTTCTCACATGTCGAGGTTTGAATATGTTACCAAATCAGAAGACCAAACTGGCAGATTTGTTGCTGAAGCTTGCCCTTATTCCATCCATTCTCAATGCGCCAGCGATCCCCCGCTTGTTGGCGCTGGATCGGAAGGTCGCACCTGCGCTGTGTGCATATGGAACCCCTCGCATGCATTCTCAATGTCATCCAGCCTCTCCGTCTCTCGCGTCGTCAGCGGGTTGTAATGCAAAAACCTCCACGTAACCCGTCTAGCGACTGTGGCTTCTGTGTCCTCTGTCTGCGCCGCCGCCACACCATGAATAATCGCCACAATCAAGGCGATCCTCATCACCCGCGTGACCACCTGCAGCTCGTGGAAACGCCTTAATAGGAGAGTCGGTCGTGCCTCATGGGCACCTTTTTGGCCGCCTGCCTGAAGCGTCTGAACAAGAGTGGCGGTTTCTCTCTCGATGTATCTGTATATATACACACACGCGGTGACACGCATGTTCTATGTATATACATATATATATATACATACATACATACATACATACATACATACATACATACATACATATGTATAAAGTCGCTTGTGGCTAGAAAGCAAGAGCGGTGTTTGGCACAGGCCTCAGCTTGCCATCGCTCGGACGTCCATTCCCCGTGCATGTTTCGCCTTCGTGCGTGTATTTTCTCGCAAGATGCCCCAAAATGATCCTCCATGGTCTTCGCCCGGGAAAAAAAGGCTCACAATCGAACGATGCCAAGCCAGAGATCGGTCTTTTAGAGGCACGTGGGCGACGATCAAGACGGCCCTTACGCGAGATGACACGGCGACCTCACGAGGTAGCTCACGCGGGCCACCAGCGCGGCACGCTACGCTGGAGACGAGGGCGCTGACGCGCGACCTCACGCGGGAAGCTTACGCGCCAATGTCGGCGCAGGCGACCCCGTTTTTCTGCATCGGTCACGTTGACGTTGCCCTCCAACGTTTGTAAGGGAACAAAAACGGCATAAACATCAACTTTCGGCGCTCCGCGGAGCGCGCAAGGGGCGGCGCCGGAGGCGCGCCAGCGCGGCCGCGGATCCAAGGAATCCGCGCGGAGCGCCGAAAAGTTTCTGTTTATACCGTACCGTGCTCTTCTTCTTCGTCGACGACGACGATGACAACGCCGACACCGACGACGCCGCCGACGACGCCGACGACGATGACGCCGACGCCGTCGACGACGACGGCGACGACGACGACGACAACGCCGCCCCGGCGGCGCCGGAGCTCCAAGAAGTGGCCGGCCAGCTCCTCGACGGCGTGGATGAGGCCAGCGGCCTCGTCGTACTGGCGGCAGGAGGCCTGCGTGCGCAGCTGCTCGAGGGCGGTGACCTCGGAAGGCCCTGCCCTCGAAAAAGGTCTGTCCTACTCCTCCTCCTCCTCCTCCTGCTTCACTTCAAGCTCCTCCTCCGATCGCCTCCTCCTACTCCTGCTCCACCCTTCCTCCTCCTCTAACTTTCTCCTTACAATTTCTCCATCCTCCTCCTCCTCCTCCTCCTCCTCCTCGTCCTCCTCCTCCGCCTCCTCCCCCTTCTCCTCCTCCTCCTCCTCCTCCTCCTCCTCCCTCCTCCCCCTCCTCCTCTTCATCCTCATCCTCCTCGTCCTCCTCCTCGTCCTCGTCCTCGTCCTCCTCCTCTTCCTCTTCTGTTTCTTCTTTTTATTATTATTCTTCTTCTTCTTCTTCATCATCATCATCATCATCATCATCAGCATCAGCATCAGCATCAGCATCAGCATCAGCATCATCATCATCATCATCAGCAGCAGCATCAGCATCAGCATCAGCACCAGCACCCAGCACCAGCATCAGCATCAGCATCATCATCATCATCATCATCATCATCATCATCATCATCATCATCATCATCATCATCATCATCATCATCATCATCATCATCATCTTGTTTCTAATTTTCCTCTTTTTCCTCCTCCTCCTCATCGTCCTTGTCCTCCTCCTCCTCCCTTCTTCTCCTCCTCCTCCTCCTCCTCCTACTCCTCCTCCATCTTGCTCCATCTTGCTCCATCCTCCTCCATCCTCCTCCTCCTCCTGCTCCTCCTCCTCCTCCTCCTGCTCCTGCTCCTCCTCCTCCTCCTCCTTTTCCTCCTCCTATTACTCCTCAGGCTCCTACTCTTCGTCCTCGTCAGGCTCAGACTGGTGGGTCCGGGGTCGTGAATGACGCAGACATCCCCCTCCTCCTGCTCCTGCTCCTCCTCCTCCTCCTCCTCCTGTTGCTCCTCTTCCGGTTCCTCCTCCTCCTCCTTCTCCTCCACCTCCTCCTCCTCCTCCTCCTCCTCCAGAGGCTCTTCTGGCTTACTCGGGCTAGTCCAAAGCTTCAGATTGATGGCTATTCCCTCTCTGCTTTACTGTGTATGTCCCCAAACAAGCTTGCACTTAGGCTCTCGTACTTCTCTTCGGAAGAACCGGGCCTGCGGGCCGCTCTGGCCGCCATGTCACCGCCGTCGCCGCCTCGTCGCCTGGGCCCCCGGGCCGCCAACGTGACTACTGGTTGGGTTCCACGCTGGCCAACAGTAGTTTTTTCCGAGCAGAGTGGGACGGTTGCTGCATCTGCTCTCTTGGGGGTGCTCTCTGGGCTTGCCTGGAGCGCCGTGGAGGCCTCTTGGGTGCCTCGGAATCTTCGGGCCGTTTTGTGCAGAGCTACCTTCCTGGAGGCCCACGCAAGAAAAACGCCCAAGAGCGCCTGGGAAACCGAGATTCCGGGCCCTTCAGAACCTTTCAACCGGAGTACCTCTCAAGGCTGCGTGCGCCTCGAGGCAGATCACTCCGCGCCTGCGGCTCGGAGGCAGATCCGTGGCTTCGAGCCTGAGCGGTGGGTGGTGGCGGTGCTGCACTTTTGCCGCCACTCGTATCCCCAACAGCACATGTGTAGCCAGTCATCAGGCGAGTTGCTTTGTGAAGGGCAGTGTGGAACTGTTAGCCAGCGTGGACCCCAAGCAGTGTGCTCTGGCATACTACGTGGTTCGATGTATGTGGTGCTACGTGGTGCAGTCAATGTCGTGCAATCTACGTGGTGCTAGAACACACTTCTTGGGGTCCTCACCGGCTAACCGCACGCAAAGCAATGCAGAGCAGTACAGAGTAATGCAAAGCAGCGCAGCGCAAGGCGAAGCAGTGCGCAGCAGTGCAAAGCAACTCAGAGCAGTGCAAAGCAGGCAACGACGAGGCGGCGGGCGGTGCCGAGGCGGCGACAGGGCGGCCGGAGCGGCCCGCAGGCCCAGGCGACGGGCGGTGACGGGCGGCGACGGGGCGGCGACGGCGGCGACAGGGCGGCCAGGGCGGCCTGCAGGCCCAGTTCCTTGAAAAAGAGATGCGAAGCCCGAAGTACAAGCACTGCCAGCGGAGAAGCACATGTCTGTTGCATATTCGCTGCTTTGGCCTGTCACAGCGTTCACGATGGCCCAAGCGGCCCCCAAGATCGCCCCAGGACAAGCCCAGAGACTCCCAAGAGACCCCAAGAGGCCGAACAGAGGCCCCCAAACGGTCCCAAATAGGCTCCTAAAGGCTTCGAAACTGCCTCCAAGATGTACCCCAGAAGCTTCCCAAGAGACCCCAACAAACATCCACGAGGCCCCCAAACACGCCGAGAGCACTTTCATAGCCTCCTGGTTGAGTCCAAGAAATCACCAAGACAAAACCAAAACTTTCTTCGGGCGTTCTGAGCCGCTTTCCCGGATAACGAACGCCAGCCACCACTACCGCCTGTTCCCGAACCCCTGATCCGCAGGGCAGGGACGGTGGCGGGATGGGCCGAACCCTGTTGGACCTGCTTGGCACGGGGACGGCAAGCGCAACTTACCTGGTGATGACGCGAGGTCGCTGGCTTGTCGGTCCTTCCCGCTCTTATGTCATCTCTTCCCCTTGCCTTTGTCGTGTCCCTTGGGGGGGTCTTGGGGCACGCTTGGCCCGTCTTGGGAGACTCCTGGGCTGTCCTCGGGCCCTCTCTGAGCCGCCCGTGGGCCCTCCAAAAGAGAATGCAAGACGATGATCGAAACATCCGTTTAAATATGCGAAGTTGGAGATCGATCGTCTGTATGATGATGTCCACGGCGTTGCCGATGTAACCCGCCTGGCCATTTCAAACCGCCTGGCCTTTGCAACCCGCCTGGGCCTTTGAACCCGCCTGGCCGTTCTGACCCGAATGCTCGCTTGAAACCGCATGGCCATCACAACCTCGTGACTGTGTTCATCAACACAGCCATTTCAACCCGCCCGGCCGCGCTAACATCCTGTGCATTTCTAGCCCGCCTGGTCATTTGATACACGTAAGCCGCCTGGCCGTTGTAACCCGCCTGCGCGGTCGGACTCGCCTCGCAATTCTTGAATCGCTTAACCAGTTTGACTCGCCCAGCCGTTTTCGTCCGCCTGGCCGCTTGAACTCGCCAGGCCGTTTCAACCCGCATGGCAGTTTTAACCCGCCTGGCCGTCCGACCGCCCGCCAATGGCCGCTTTCACCCGCCTGGCCGTTGTAACCTGCTTGGTCGTTTGAACCCGATTGTCCCCATTAATCCGCCTGGCCGTTTTAACCTGCTGGTAGCTTCAACCGCCTGGCCGCGCTGACATCCTCGGCCGTTTAAACCCGCCTGGCCGTGTTGACCCGCCTAGCCGTTTGAGCCCGCCTGGAGAGTTTAACCCGCATGGCAGCACTGACATCCTTGGCGGTTTGAACACGCCTGGCCGTTTTCACCCGCCTAGCTAATTTAACCCGCCTGGCCGTTTTGAGTCGCCTGGCCGTTTTGAGTCGCCTGGCCGCTTGAACGCGCCCGGCCGTTGAAACCCGCCTGGTCGCTTTCACCAGGGACCGAGACCAACACGACGTTGACAACATATCGTGTTCGTGAAGATGTCCATCGCAAAACCGCTCTTTTGGGCAAGAGCGCTGTCGACAGCATCTAATGTGTGTGAGGATGTCCCTAGCGAAATTGCAAGGTGGAGCAAGACCGAAACCAAGACGACGTCGCCAACATTTCATTTGTGAAAGGATATCCCTAGCGCGATCGCCAGTTTGGGCAAGAACGATGCCAGCAGCATCTCAGTTTTGCAAGGATTTCCTAAGGGACATTGACTTTTGTGGGCGGAAGTGGAGCGGGGCGTCTCAGAGCAATGCATGCTGTTGGGCTGTGTTGGGCCGTCTTGGGGCCCTTTATGCCGATGCGCCGTGTAGGCGCGGCTTCTTCCAGTCCAGTCCAGTCCAGTCTAGCTAAATCACATGTTGCCCATTGGATTCCTCTCCCCTAATCAGGGCCGCCAACCGCCTCAAACTCCCCCTAATGTCGTTCCGCCCAGCTAGCGGATTGCACGCTACGCGCTACGCGCGCCGCCCCCCGCTTGCTTGGTGCACGGCGTGCTGGACGTTCGGTCGTCGGCGTCCGTTTTGAAGGTTCCCAGTGGGCCTTCGGCCGACCCCGCTGGCCACCCGAAAGCCTGGGAAAACCGCGCGAAATACGTACCCCACTGTTCAAATCGGCCCGAAGACGGACAAGATGGCTTCCAAGCAAGACGGCCCAGGCGACCTCCAAGACGCCCAACATGGTCTTCAAGAATGCCCCGAAACACCCCAAGAGGGCCCCACGTCGGCCCAGAGAGGCCCACAAGACGCCTGCTCCCCAGAAGCTTCCAACTGCCCCCAAGAAGCTCAAGGAAGCCCTCGAGAGGCCTCCAAGAGGACCCCAGGAAGCTCCCAAGAGGTCTCCTCCTGCTTCCTCCCTCTCCTGCTCTTCTTCTTTCCCCACGTGCTCTGCAAGGCTTACCCAAAGGCTGGGGGACTACTTAGTCCTGTGAGGCCGCGACATTCGGCTAATATCCAAAACGCGCAAGCGGCGGCTGTCACTCGCCGTAGGCGTCTTCGAGAACTTCTGAATCCGCCACCGTGCCGCTGGGCACGGAATGGGCGCGTCCTCAGGATTGCAAAAAAAAACCTGGGTTAAGGATTGCAAAAAACACTGTTTTTTTGCAATCCAAGGTTGTTTTGCAATCCTGTTTTTTTTTGCAATCCTTCGTTGCAATCCTTCGCCCTTTGCCCAATCCCCCGAGCCTGTCCTCCATCCCACGGGTTGGTAAAGGGGCCCGGGGCCCCAAATTCTCAAATCTCTCGGGGCTCGCCGCCTGCTCCCGCGGGACTCCCGCGCCTACCCGCGTGACCTGCTCGGGCTCAACAGGGCCCCGAGACGGGCCAAGAGGGCCGTAGGAGGCTTCGAAGACGGTCCAGGAGGGAAACGAGTCGCCGAACGATCGCTCCAAGACGCCCAAGACGGCCCCCAGACGGCCCAAGAAGCCTCCGAGACACCCAAAGAAGACTTCCAAGAGGGCCCCGAGAGGCTAACGTCAGTTATTCCCCTGATGTGTGTTGAAGGTTTGTGCTGGCGTTCTCGCCTTTTCGGCTACCCGACGCTCCCGGACGGCCCTGGAAGCCCCCAAGATCGCCCCAAGAGGTCTCCAAGACGGCTCCAAAACGGCCCAAGAGGGCCCCGAGGCGGCCCAGGCGCCCACGACGGCCAAAAAGGCCCCAAAGACGGCCCCAAGAGGGGGCCCAGATGGGGCACCCCAACTAAGGTTTCGAGCCCTCGGCCCCGAGGGGCCCCCAGGATGCCCTGAGATGCCCCGAAGAGGCCCCCAAACTGCCCCCACGAGGCCCCCGGAAGCGGCCCGAGGAGACCCCAAGAAGAAACATCCCAGAGATCTCTGTCACCTACCAGACCACCCCAACCCAACCCGAAGACCCGAATTTCGGGTTGGGGGGGGGAAGGGTTCCACATGTGTTTTTTCGATGTTTCCCGACACCCCCCCACTGGAAATCGAGGGTAAATCTGAGCCTTCGGGTTGGGTTGGGGTGGTTTGGTGGTCCCGGCAGGGTGGCCGGATGGGCCGAACTCCATGAGATCCGCCGCCCCCTGTTGGCTTGCCACAAAGGTGCCTGGCGTGCTGCACCTCACGCGACTTGGTGTTCGTTCTTTTTTCAAACAAGCTCTCCTTGGGGCTTCGCGGCCCAGCGCGCCGGCCACCCGGAAAGCTTGCCCAGAGATGGCTGCAAACGGTTTTCCCGTTCCAGATGGCTCCGAGATGGCCCAAGATGGCCTCCAACACGGCCAAGATGACCTTCAAGTTCGCCGAAGATGATCCAAGATGGCCTCCACGAGGGCACATGGTCCAAGATGTCTCTGAGTTTGCCCAAGAAGCCTCCAAGACGGCCAAAGATGGCCTCAAGATGACGGCAGACAGCTCAAGAGGCTCCAAAGAAGCCTCCAAGACGGCCCAAGAGGCCTCCAAGAGATCCTCCAGGAAGGCCCGAAAAGGTCACAACCAGTGAATGTACATAACTAGGTGTGTGAAGGATTTTGGCATTGGCATATTTTCGACCTTCGGACGGCCCGAGACGGCCCAAGAGCCCCCAACGATCGCCCCAAGATCGCCCAAGAGGCCTCCAAGATGGCCCCAGAACGGCCCAAGATGGCCCCAAGAGGCCTCCAAGACTCCCAAGAAGGCCTCCAAGACGGCCTGGAGCAGCCCAAGAGGACCCCAAGTCGGCCCAGGGAGGCCCCCAAGACGGCTTCCGACGGCGTCAGACAGGCCAGAAATGCCCTCAGACAGCCAAAGAGGATCCCCAGAAGTCTCCAACGGCCCCCTAAGACGCCCAAGGAGGCCGCCAACATGCCTCCACGAGGCTCCCAGGAAGCCCCCAGGAGGCCCCAAGATTGCCGCCACAGGCTCCCAAGATGGCCTCATCCTCATCCTCCTCCTCCTCCTCCTCCTCCTCCTCCTCCTCCTCCTCCTCCTCCTCCTCCTCCTCCTCCTCATCATCATCATCATCATCATCATCATCATCATCATCATCATCATCGTTCTCTTCCTCCTCCTGATCGTCCCCGCCACCCTCCCCCAAGTGTTCCCCGAAGGGTTTCCACAACGGGTGGGGAACACATGGTCCCATAGCTCGGCTGAGCTCTTGCCACAAATCTCGGCCACATGGGCGACTTCAAAAGGCAGGGGGCGGCGGTGGTTCGCCGTATGCGTTTTCGGTAATCACACTACCCGTCACGAGTCCAACATCTATACAAATCTTAAAACGAATCAGAACATCTGGCCCTATCCCTGCCCCTGGCTATAGCGACCCGAGAAACTCATGGAATTGGCTTTGGGCCTACCGGCGACCAACATGACCAACCGTTTCAACGCGGTGACAGTCAGCGTGAGGTTCCGCTTGGCGATGTCCAAAGACTTGATGTCGCGGCAGACATCGCTGACTAACTCCTCGCTCTGCTCCGCCTATGGGCTCGCAATTTACGAGAGAAGTCAAACCAATGCCATGCTTCTACCGCGACAGGTTCAATAGACGAGTCCGTCGCGACACCAGGTAGGGATAGCATCCCTGCTGAAATCTAGTCTAGGTCCACCAGGGGGTAATTAGCTGGGAAGTCAAACTATAAGCTTTCTTCGAGCCCAAGGGACTTGAGCTGCCACACGCTACGTCTTCACAGGCTCCCCGAGAGAAAGAGATCGAAACTCCATATGCTCATACACATCTGCATATATACGTATAAAGAGAGAAAGAGAGAGAGAGAGAGAGAAAGAGAGAGAGAGAGAGAGAGAAAGATGGCGCACTCTCAACTTCATGGCATCAGGAACGCTTCCCTTTCCGTAGTTAGGCTCGCCTGCGGGGGCCTCACTGGCTTTCAGGAGAGACACGATCTCTGTGATCACCAGCCAGGCTGGCTTCTCCTAGCCTGGGCACTGAGCCCCCGTGTAAATTTAGTGCCATTCTATGCTATGCTATGCGAGTGGCCTGATGTGCGGCGCGATGGTGCAACTGTCGTTGTGCGGGCCCCAAGAATATACACCACCACCACCTCCAGCCCCCCTCCCTCCTCTCCCCTCCTCCTCACCTCCAATTTCATGGGAGAGGGATGGTGTTAGAGAGGTGGTGGTGGTGGTGTATATGTTTTTGGCCCCGTGTTAATACGGAATGCCTCAGTCAAAAAAATCGGGAACAAAGACGACCCAGCCGAACCGAACCGGCATGAGCCGAACCGAACTGGTCGTCGCAAATATGTGACGTCCTGATTTGTTCAGTACGCAGTCCCTGGAAGTCCCGACCCTTTCCATGGGACCAGTTTGTCATCCTGAGTCGTTTTTTGACGGTCCCGGTCCTGGGAGGCCGGAAATGGCCTGCAATCACGTGACTTCTGTTACGACGCGATCATGTCTGGGGCTTTCTTCTCCCGGATAATCGAAACGCACCGAACCGGCGTCAGATTTGACGCCGAGCCAGAGGGGGGCCCGAGCTGGAGCGAGCCGATGCCGCGCAAAACACTCCCTGGATCAGAAGGTCCGGACCGAGGGGTCCGGACCTGGAGGTGTGGATCGGGCCGACCCCGACGTCGTGCGTTGTCACAACGTCCACCACAGGTCTGGACCCCGTCCGTGGGACCAGTTTGTCATCCTGGATAACTTTTTGGGGCTCCCGGGGCCTAGTAAGGGCCCCAGGAGGCCCAAAAAAGCGAAAAACTTCCCGTCGCAATGTTGTCACAACGCGAGGGGATCTGGGGGCGAAAAGTTCAGACCGGCGAGGTCCAGACGGGGTCCAGACCAGGGGGTCCATAAACCCAAGGCCGGGGGCGACAGCAGCGGCGAGGCACCCCGCGCGACCGCCAGCAACTCGTACTATACTGGGCAATCGATTGCTGACCGAAGTCGCCACGTCCGAACGCCACGTCCGAACCGGAAACAACAAGATATACCGAGCTGGACCAACTGGAAGAACCAAAACCTCTGTACGTCTTGAGAAACTCGAGACGGAATTCTTCATCAATTTTCAGCCTCTGTCGGGCCTCGCCGGGCCACAGGACCATCAAAAAAAGACCCGCGCCAGGGGGAGAAGGTCTAGACCTCCAGGAACCCCGTCTTCAGAAAAACTGACGGCGTCGGGTGTCTGGGAGGACGGCGCCGAAGAACCGAACCGACCCGGAGGCACTTCGGATCCTAGCCTGGCTGATCCGAGTTTAAACATTCAACGCAACGCTGCACTGTGGAGATGAGCAGGGTTATACAAAACAATGCTAATGCATGCTGCGCACTGCTGCGCTGCACAGTGCCACATTGACATGCGATGGAAATATGCTCACGATGTCATAAGGAATGCTACGCAGTCCTGTGCCAAGGACTGCTCTACTGTGTTATATGATATACAGTGTATTGCACGGCGCCTCATCGCGTCGCAACTCGTGGCGTTGACAGTACTAAGCCACCAACACACAGCACACTCCTAATATGAGTCATTGCGGCTTCATGCGCTGCTTTGATTTGCACAACTGTGCTTTATCTTGCATTGCGTCTCTTTTCATGTTGAAGCTCTCCGCAAGGGACCAACACGGAGCCCGCGCTCGGAATAATGTTTCTATCGCCAAAGCTCTGTTGGGCAAAGCCGTGTTCCAACTTTGGGAGTGCCTGGCCATCTACTGAGAAGAGTCTGCAAACACTGCGCATCTCTTGTGTGCGTCAGCACCAATAGCAGAGAACGTGGAGGTCGATCGTGGACAGTGGGCGAGGTGGTCAGTGCGGGAAGCGCATGGTCAGACGGGCCATCAGGATCGGGATAGCCGCCACCGGAGCGACGGCGACGAAACAGCTCACGGTCTCTGAAAAACCTCCTCGGAGCAATGGGCGACCGCTGTGCGCTTCAAGGGCTTCTGTAGCCCTGACGGTGCCAACAAAAAGAGGGAGGCGGAGGGCATACACATAATAAACTTGGAATTCCACGCGGATTTCTCCGATCCGCGCTGGACCCCCCTCCCTGGCGAGCATAGCGCGCCAGGGGCGGCGCCGGAAGCGCGGCCAGGGGGGTCCAGCTCGGATCCGAGAAATCCGCGCGGACCTCCGAGTTTCTATGTTTATGCCATTCCTCGTTCCCCGAATGTGGGAGCGGCAGAGGGAGGGACCAGGCAAAGTACAGTGGACACATACGATGAAACAAACGAGCAAATCTTGCCACCAGAACCCTTGAGGCGCATTCGTCGTCGATCGCCGGGGGTCCTGCGGTGCCCCAGGGCCCCTGTGGCACCCCCGGGGCCGTCGGGGGGGCACGAGATCCCACCAGCCCTCTGGGCTTAAGTGGCTACACGAATTTTGTCCTCTCTCTTTCCACAGCCCCTCCTTCCCCTGCTCGGGGGAGGGGCTTACCCCTCCCCCTCCCTTCCCCTTGGGCCTAGGAGGGGGGGCGCGAGGCACTAGAACGCCCAAAAAGGCCCAAGATGGCTCCAAGAGGGCCTCAAAGAGCACAAAGATGGTTCAAGATGGCTCAACAAGAGCTCAAGATTGCTCAAGATAGCCTCCCACATACATCGAAGACGGCCCAAGACGGCCCCGATCTGATTTCAAGTGCCCCCCGGGCCCTCCCAAAGACCCCCCTAAGAGGCCAAAATGGCTCCCAAACCTTGGAAGAATCAGTACTTGTTGCGTTCTGGCCTTCAGGCTTCTGATGAGCTTCCGAGGCGTCGAGATGGCCCCAAGACGGCCCAAGCAAACCCCAAAAAGGCCCCAAGAGCGGCCAAGAGCAACCCAAGAGCGCCACACCAAAAAGGCCCCAAGAAGCCATTTTTGACCCTCCGGGGGGGGGGCCTGAATTAAGGACCCCAGCCGTTTTGAACTACGGGGGCCTCGACGGCCCCAAGAGACAAACCTCTCAGACACGCCCAAATGGCCCAGAGAGGGCCCTGGGATGGCCCCAAAAGATCCCCAAGAAGGCCCCAATGGCCCCCCAGAATAACCTCCAGAAAGCCCCAGGATAGCTCCAAAAGACACCCGAAAACCTCTCGCAACAACGTTTCAACTCGCCTGGCAAACTGTTTCTGGTTGGTCTGGTGGGGATTATTTTTGGTCACCAGGCTCGCGAGGCGGGTCGGAAGCCGTCCGAACACTAGTCGGGCCGCGACTAGGCAGCAGGAAAGGGAAGACAAGCGAAGCGAGCGAGCGGGCAGCCACTCAGAAGAAGAGCCAGAATCGGCCCTCCCACAGCCGGTTGCGTTGGAAATCCCGGTGGCGACCAGCAAGTAAGCGCAGCCAAAATGGCGCGGCGGCGGGGCCATAAACACGCAGAGGTCGATCGCTCGGTGTGAGTCAGGAAAACAGCACCGTCAAAGACGAACTAGACTGACAGGCACACCCAGACGACTTCCGTGAAGTAGGCGACACAAATGCCAAAACATCGTGTCGGCGCAAAATTGAAAAAGGGCAACCTCATCACCGACAAGACTGCAACCGGCAATCAAACCTGTAACGCTTGTCGAAAGCAAAGTCCATGCAGGAGAATGTCGGCCAACGGGCGCACAGAACCACACTTGCCGAACCCGAGGTCCAGGTACTGTAAGGTAGGCAATGTAGCGAAAAAAACCACTGGAACCTTCCGGTCATCAGTAGGGGCCGACACCAGCCAGGAGCAGGCCAGGGGGCGCCTGACCTCAGCGAATGCTGCGACGCAGCACCATTCCCTGCGTGAATCCTTGCACCAAATCCAGACCACCTGAACGCCATCAGGAAGCAGTTTCGGGCAGCAAACCCCAGCCGCCAGGGAATCACCCTGTGAAACAAGAGGGAGAGCACCCTGGTGCAACAGCAACCGCTGTGGCACAAGGATGCCGGAGAAGAGGAAGGGGAGCGCGCGCCGGGCACGGTAGGCGCCCCGGTGCGGCAGCTAACCGCTGCGGCATTAGGATACAGGAGGGGGAGGGAGGGCGCGCATGCCAAGCACGCGGCGTGAGAGGAGGGAGGAAGAAGCATATGCTCGAGCAGTTGATGCTGACTGTGCCAATCGTGGCGGTGTCATTTTTGTCCGCGCTGACCATGCCAAACCTGACTGCGCCAGCCGTGGCGATGCAAGCCCTGACTGTGTCAAATAAGCTCCCGTGGAATGTGAGCGCTCATAACGGCACTTGCCGAACTCGATGTCCTTGCGCCGTCGCTGTCAGCAATGCACCCAAAAATCCCACTGAACCCTTTCGGCCATCCGCAGGGGGGGCGGCACCGGCCTCAGGCAGCCAGCGGGCACCTCGCCGCCCACTCCCAGTGTGAAACTTCGCGCGAGATCCAAGCTGGCGGAGCACCACCCGGCAGCGACATTGGCGGCAACCCCAGCCGCGAGGGAAGATTTCAATGAAACAGGAGAGGGAGAGTCAGCTAACCGCTGAAGCAAAAGGAGAAGAAGGAGGGGAACTCACAATAACCCTGCGTGCACTGACGCGCACGCCAGGCGCTCTGCATCGAAGCTCACCTTAGTAAACCCGCCACTGGCACCAGCTTGCCGTTGTTCTTCACGCGAAGTCCCGGGTAAAGCTGGGCTCTTTCAGCCGCGAAATAGCGCGCAATCACGGATGAT